GAAGAGTGATGAGTGAGAGAGAGACAGAGACAGAGACATATAGGAACCTAATCAAAGTACAATAAAGCGTGAAGTCATGGACACTGTCAGTGTTCCCAACATTCTAAAGTCTACAATTGTTCTCATTAAAAAGGGGATGTTGCACGGCAAATGCATAGGACACCATTCTATATTTCAATAGAAATTGACAAAGGTATAGTCCTCATAAAGACTTCAAAGTTCAAACCCGGCTAAAAAACAATAGACAGAGTAACAAACCCAAATAAATTAAATTATGTTGCACTATTAATAATCACTTCATTCAAGCACATAACACAAAATTCCCAAAATCAAATAATTGAAACAAGAAACTGAACCCAAAAAAAAAAGAAAAAAAAAAAGAGCAAACAAGATAATGAACTGAATATGAGAGAGAGAGAGAGAGAGAGAGAGAGAACCATGGAGGAGGACTGAATTTGTGGGTCAAGCTGATGGGTTTTGATCTGTGGAGCTAAAGAAGAGTCTCTGCCCAAATCAAGCGCTGGCCATCTGTCTCTGTACAGACTCTCCCACACACAATCTAACCCACACAGCGCGCGCCAAAACCACGAGCAACTACCCAACGACTACACATCTGATAGCTTGAAATTCCAAAAAAGCAAAAAGAATAAACAAAAAATAAACAAAATCATCACATTCAAATAACAATAAAAACAGAAAAAACAATTTGCAGGGAAGAAACTTGAAGGGAAGAGGCGATTTTGAGGGCAATATCGTCTGGGAGACAACTTTGCAAAGCTGTCTATTTCGCCTCTCCAATTCCAAAAAAAAAAACAACTTTGCAAAGCTACACACCTTTTCTTCACGTTCTTCTTGCACCTCCATCTCTAAACGCTCGCCTCTCATCTCTTCTCTTCCTCACTCGCCGGCAGTAGTCGTGGCTACAACCGTTAGTACAATCGTGGAAAATGAGTGGCAAACGGCCATGGCTTCGATCTCCACAGATTGGAGCCTGGATACCCTCTTAGTCATATCTTCTCGAATTCTGCAGAGCCGTAAGAATTAGGGATTTTTGGTTGAAGGGGATTTTTGGTTTTTCAATTGGGGATTTTGGTTCAAGAGATGGGGAGGGGGGGAAGCCGAGCGGGAATGGAAAAAAGGGGGTGGGAAATCGAGCGGGAATATTTTTTTGTTTTTTTGGTAATATTTAAACAACAAAATGGCTCTTTTTTTTAAAAAAAATTATTTTTTGTTAAAATAAATTTTTTTTAATAGTTAATGATTTTTTTTTTGATTCTTTTTTTTTTAGTTATTAAGGTTGAAAATTTATTTGTTTCATTTTTATTTTAATGAATAAAAAATAATTCTTATTTTTTTACTTTGATAGAAGTAGGGGTAATATTTTAATGAAAAATATTTTCCATAAATTTTATAAATTGGTTTTTGTTTATTTTTAGAAAAAGATATATTACAAACGCGTTTGGTTTGAACAAAATGTTTAAAAAAATTTAAAAATATAAACTAAAAAACATGTTTAAAAATATGAACAAAATGTTTATTATTATCATTTTTTTGGATCTTTGACTCATGAAGATCAAACAACTGAAGCCTCAATATCAAGCCTCAATATCAACGATCGTATGAGTACTTGAATTCATTTGATGAGTTCAGACATCAGAAAAAATCTCCGACAGATTCACATTCACGTATGCATACAGGCCAATTAAATGACTATACAGGTTTTCAAACAAAATATTGCAGATTGAGGCAGATAACAATATTATGGTAAAATTTTCTTTTGCCAACATGCACAAAGAACACAACCAAATAAAACTTGAATTGAATAATGCTATAACAAAGCTCAACCTATTCATATTTCCATCACAGCAATGAGTTGCAACAAGGAAACATATATTGAAAAACCACATATTAGGACTACATTAATTTCATCTTCTAAAAGCCAATTCCAAATGTTTGAAATCTCTAGATTAAAACTCTTGACAAATCAAGGAATTGATTACGTGTCGATATCAAAATACAAGTATCATACATATGTCATCATCAATATTTCAAACTTGAACACATGCTTTCTGCTTTTGTATGTATTAAAGTCATTGTGTATGCCATTCTATTAACTACTAAATTTCACCACTTCTAGAATGTTAATATCACTACTAAAGTTAACTACCACTGTCCTGCAATAATCAACATCAGCAAAGTCCCTATATTTTTTGAACCTTGATATCACTACATTCATATTTTACTCCCACAAACAGAAGGGGCCCTAAATGAATGGAGACATAACTTAAGTAGATTGGAACTTGGAAGTAGCGACTACACTACTATCCATTAGGAAATTTGGGAAGCATAACTTAAAGGGCTATGATGCAATATTAAAGGATGCTCTTTGGGCAGTTAGGACGACCAATAAATATTGGCAGCATTGTTGAAAAGGTGAAAACAAAGGCATCTAAGTCATTCCAAAAGCTTGACATGCACAAGTGTTCATATTGGGGTTAAAAAATTCACTACGCTTTCAAGGTTTAAACATCCCAACAATTTCAGGTTTTTGAATAATAGTAGTCGAACGCTATTTGACCATTTCAAATTTCTGAATTTTAAACATCAGAGAAAAAAAAAATCCCAATTCCAACCACAAAATAATAAATAAAATTCTCATTGGTAGCCTAGCCATTCCTTCTCATCTTAATTCTTTATCATTTCAAAATAAACATTTCTGGGTCAGACATTTTAACAAACAGTTCAAAGACTATTTGCTGACTTGAAATTGTAAAGCTAGATCAAAGAGTAACATAAACAATATACAGAGAGAGAAGAGATGAACGAGATAGATAGAGAGAGAGAGATGAGCTAGAGAGACATAGAGAGAAGAGAGATGAATGAGAGAGACAGAGAGAGAGATAGAGATAAGAGAGATGAGCGATAGAGACAGAGAGAAAAGAGAGATGAGAGAGAGCGAGAGAAGAGAGATGAACAAGAGAGATAGAGACAAGAGAGATGAACAAAAGAGATGAGAGAAGAGATAGATGAGTGAGAGACACATAGACAGAGAGAGACAGATAGATAGACAAATAGAGAAGAGTGATGAGTAAGAGAGAGAAAAAGAATAGAGAGAGGAAGATGAAAAAATGGGTGAAAAGAGACAAACAGAGAGAGAGAGAGAGAGAAAAAGAGCGAAAAGAGATAAACAAGAGAGATACATGAAGAGATGAGCGAGAGAGATAAAGAGAAGAGAGACACAGAGAGACGAGAAATGAGAGATATAGAGAAAAGAGAGATAAGCAAGAGACACAGAGAGAGAGACAGACAGACAGAGAAGAGTGATGAGTGAGAGAGAGAAAGAGAAGAGAGACTGAGACAAAAATAGAGACACAGAGAGAGACAGACAGACAGAGAAGAGTGATGAGTGATGAGTGAGAGAGAGAGAAAGAGAATAAAGACACAGAGAGAAAAAGAGAGACAGATAGATAGAAAGAGAGAGAAAGAGTAATGAGTGAAAGTAATTTTTTATTTTTCTTTCAGCGACTAAATTATTTTAGTGCCAAAACTATCTATACAGTGACTAAAATATTTTTTAGTCACTAAAATTAAATTTTGGCCGACAAAAATTTTGGTCGCCAAAGATAAAAAGTGAATTTTTATTTTTCGTTCAGCGACTAAATTATTTTTGTTGCCAAAACTATCTATATAGCGACTAAAATATTTTTTAGTCGCTGAAATTAAATTTTTGCCGACCAAAATTTTGGTCGCCAAAGATAGAAAGTGAATTTTTATTTTTTTTCCAGCGACTAAATTATTTTAGTTGCCAAAACTATATGTACAGCGACCAAAATATTTTTTCGTCGCTGAAATTAAATTTTTGCTGACCAAGATTTTGGTCGCGAAAGATAAAAAATATTTTTTTATTTTTCTTTCAGTGACGAAATTATTTTAGTTGCCAAAATTATACATACAGCGACCAATCTATTTTTTAGTCGCTGAAATTAAATTTTTGCCGACCAAGCATTTGGTCGCGAAAGATAAAAAATAATTTTTTATTTTTCTTTCAGCGATGAAATTATTTTAATTGCCAAAACTATACATACAGCGACCAAAATATATTTTAGTCGCTGAAATTAAGTTTTGCCTACCAAACTTTTGGTTGCAAAAGATAAAAAATAAATTTTTATTTTTCTTTCAGCGACGAAATTATTTTAGTTGCCAAACTATACATACAGCGACCAAAATGTCTTTTAGTCGCTGAAATTAAAGTTTTGCCGACCAAACTTTTGGTCGCGAAAGATAAAAAATAAATTTTTATTTTTCTTTCAGCGACTAAATTTTTTTAGTTGCCAAAATTATATATACAGCGACCAAAATGTCTTTTAGTCGCTGAAATTAAATTTTTGCCAACCAAGCTTTTGGTCGCGAAAGATAAAAAATAAATTTTTATTTTTTTTAGCGACGAAATTATTTTAGTTGCCAAAACTATACATACGGCGACCAAAATGTCTTTTAGTCATTGAAATTAAAATTTTGCCGACCAAACTTTTGGTCGCGAAAGATAAAAAATAAATTTTTATTTTTCTTTCAGCGACTAAATTTTTTAGTTGCCAAAACTATATATACAGCGACCAAAATGTCTTTTAGTCGCTGAAATTAAATTTTTGCCGACCAAGCTTTTGGTCGCGAAAGATAAAAAATAAATTTTTATTTTTCTTTCAGCGACGAAA